GTCCAGAAGACCTGGCAGAACCTACCCCATCAGCTGTGGCCTGTGCCCGATACTGGCAGAACGACATCTGAGATTGCTACGGACTCGAAGAAGATCGATACCGCTTATCGGTCCGGTCTTTAAACGGTACTCTTATCGGTTCTTTTGGAGAAAAGAAAAAAGGTAAACTAACTAAACAAATTGTGAACAAAACTAACATTGCTTTTTATTTAAATTAAATAAATAATATTTCACATCAAAAGAAACAACAATGTTTTAACAAATCGTATTAAATAATCTGATGACAGAACTTTAAACAGAATAGCTGAAACTTTTGAAACAACAAAATAAATAACTCTGTTACCTCTAATCATTAACCCATGTTTATATCATTGAGTTAACTCTGTGTGTTGCTGCTAGCATACATAACTGACGTGGAAACGTTACTCGTGGATGGGGCTAGAGCTACTAGAAAGACAGTCGAACCCGGTGCATTTCTCCGTCTGAATGTGGTGCACTTTTGCTAAATGTTTAGACAAATTGCTCGTGTTACCGCCCTTACATGCTAAACTCTTATTGCACTCTTGGTAACGAGGATTGTCCACATCGAGACGGGTAAAGTTTAACCACACCTCGGAGCGCATTCTCTCCGCCATCTCCTCCGTGTGTGTGTGTTGCTGCATGTAGCAGCTGCGTGTGTGTAAACTGCCCCGCCCCCTCGCAAGCAGGCGGGGGAGAGAGATCTCTCTCCTGGATTGGAAAGATCGAAAATACTAAAAATTATCATCGACGCATTTTGCAGTCTTTTTGCATGTTAGAAACGGAGTTGGCGACACTAAAACTGCAATATAATGTTTGTGTAGCAATAATACACATGACATATATTTTTTACATGTCTCCAGTATCGATAAAAAGACTGTTAACGTCGGAGCTTAACGGTACCACGGTCTTTAATAATTCATCCCTGGGCCCCTATACATATCTTTACTGGGGATGTCCTTTTTCTGTTATCGCTTTTCATAAGCCCGACACCCATGAACCAGTTACTAGTTAGTAATTCAGCGTCTGTAAGACCTGCAAACACTTTGCAGAATGTGTTGTATTTTACTGCTCAGACCATTTGACTCATTGTTCTGATTATTAAAAAAAGGTTGCCATCATTATTGTATTCAGATTATTGTTTGTATATCAATCTTTCGTTTTCTTTCATTGTAAATGTATCATTATTTAGGTGGAGCCTTCATGTTATCCCAGTGGGTTTTCTTCCTCTCTGTATATCATTTACTGTCTGTTATGTTCTCTATATTTAAGTTGTGCACAACACTTATATAAATAAATATCAGGTTTGTAGTTTTTCCGTAATCCTGCTGACAAACCGAGCGAAACCTAACCAGTTCAGCAGAGGTATTAATAATAATAATACAAATATATATATATTTTCATAGATACTTTTAATACAACAGATAAACACATAGTACATGTTTCTGTTGGTTGTGACGTAGAAAATGTGCTCTGACCCCTACAGGAAAGGAGGCAACAACAAGCTGATAAAGATCTTCCACCGGGAGGGGAAGTACGGCTTCTCCGACCCTTTGACCTTCAGCTCCGTGGTGGAGCTCATCAACCATTACCGCCACGAGTCCCTGGCGCAGTACAACCCCAAACTGGACGTCAAGCTGCTGTACCCGGTGTCCAAACACCAGCAGGTCTGTGCACCGTCACTACTCTGAGACTGTGATAGTTCCTCACTCATTGAGTCGTCTGACTGGACATGTTGTTATTGTTGTTGTTGTTCAGGACCAGGTGGTGAAGGAGGACAGTATTGAAGCTGTAGGGAAGAAGCTCCACGAATATCATCTGCAGTACCAGGAGAAGAACCGGGAGTACGACCGACTGTACGAGGAATACACCAGAACCTCACAGGTACACAGTACTGTGCAGATTATTAACACTATTAATCACACGTTTAAAATACCATTATTTACTTGTATTTTGGGGGGAGATAAAAGAAATACACGTGGTGTGGCAATAAAGACATTCATGACAAACTGGTTGAAGAAATCAGAGGGTTTTTTACTTTATTATAACATCCAGTTTTCTGAATGATTGGCATAAAGTCAGAACATTTCTCGCCACTTATCTAAAGCATCGGCAAAGCCAGTGTAATCGCCCTCTGTATAACGTGCTCTACACAGGGCATATTATCTCTGCTGCTATCATACTGCAAGCACTATATGTTCCTACGGTGGTGACCCTGTCCAATATCTTTGTTCAGCAAAGTGCCTTTCCTTCATTTTCACATCACCTAAAGAACAAGTGCTGAACATTTGTCAGGGATTAGCTGTGCCCTTGCTTATTGATGTCCACTGGCCTTCAGTCAGTGCAGAACCTGTAGCTGGTGTCAGTTCCTCTGCTTTTGCATTGCTATGCATTTCTATGCATTTCATGGTAAACATCCGTACTGGTATCACAGTAGCACATTTGGGTCAAACTTGGTAATGTGATTAATATGAGCACATTAAAAAAAAGAAAAGTGTTAAGCAAAATTAATCTCGAATGTTAAGGCGTTAATGTTGACAGCTTTAAAAGAAACAACAACGATGTAACAAACACACACAATATTTCTTTTTACTTTATGGAATAACCACAATATAAAGAAAACACATTTTTAGAGAACATCAAAACAGCAGCTGCATGCACGCACGCACACACGTAACTAAATGATCTCCCATTATCAGTAAACATTGAAATTGTAAAGAATGATAAATTCAAGGGGAACATTATACATTGTAAGATGCACTTGAAATGACTTTTAATTACATGTATTCCTCATAGAAGAGAATAAAACGATAAATAAAACACATTACTCTACTATGTATTTTGTATTACCGAAGTTCTCATTACAGACCATAATGAGAATGTTTAGACATCAATAGATAACATGGGCCCTTTCAGAATAAAAGATACTATACTTAAGCAGTAGCGCACCACAGGGCATGGTTTGTTGGGATAATCACATTACGGTTTGCAATTTATTGTCTTAAGACTTAATAAACTTAATAACAAAGAAATCACAATAAGAAAGGCTCTCGCTGCCTCCTGCATATCCGGAGTGGTTGCATGAAACGTACTCTTGCAGCTTCCTTTTTCATCACAGGCTAGTTTTATATATTGATGTCATTATTAAACAATCTATTTACATTATTTGTGTGTTAGTGTTTTTCTGCTGCAAATCTCTCTTTCTTGGATATTCTGTGCTAAGTTGTCCAACTTTTTTTGTTGACATAGTTTAGCTTGTCATCTAGCAGGTGGATTTCTATCTGCTCAGTCCACTCCACATAGAGTAACCTTAATGTTTCACATTGTATAGAAGGTTTTAGCTAGTTCACTTTGTTACTTTACATCTGTAACCAGATCCATGGCGTGGCCCTGTCGCAACAACACATCAGTTACATCAACATTTTGTGGAGTAATACTGAAAGTGCAAATAACTAGACGTTGTGTATGTGGTATGGTTATTGAATCACGGCTTTGAACCAATCAGATTGCTAATTCGAGCTACCAGTTTTATATTCTAATATTATAAGTATTGATGCCTGTTGATCACTGTAGTGTCGCAGGTGGAAAGGGGGAGCTCATTTGAATGGTTTTAAATAAACCTAGGAAGAATCTAAAATAATATCATTTATTAGCTGATCATATTTTGTATCATTAATCTGAATCATAAAATATAAACATTAGGTAAAGTATCTCAATATTTCACTTGAGTGTACTTACCTTCCATCACTTTTTACATGAATGTAGTGAGGAAGCTATGTCCGACAAAGGCAGTAAAACACTCACACCCTCCTCTTCCTCCTCTTCCTCCCCTCAGGAGATCCAGATGAAGAGGACGGCCATCGAGGCGTTTAATGAGACCATAAAGATCTTCGAGGAGCAGTGTCAGACTCAGGACCGCTTCAGCAAAGAGTACATCGAGAAGTTTCGCCGGGAGGGCAACGACAAGGAGATCCAGAGGTAGGGCTGTTGCCACGGCAACTGTGGAAGAGACCTTTTTTCAAAAACGCACACACACACACACACACACACACACACACACACACACACACACACACACACACACACACACACACACACACACACACACACACACACACACACACACACACTGTGAATGAGCCCTAGTTGCCATGGCACCAGAGGCTGAAGGAAGAATCCACCTGCTGGTCAAATTAGTCTAAATAAGTGTTGTCGCGTCAGATCGACTCACATGCTTAGTTTTCTTTTGATTTGGGGTTTACAATATGTCTTAACACTAATGCGTATAATTGACACTTATAGAGGATGCTCATGTTCAGCTTCATATCAGTATGTAGTGTCTCTACTGGGACATGTCTTCATGCTTTAATGTTCAAAAAGCTCTTTATTTTTCTCATACTGCTTGCAGCACCTCCTTTCACCCTCTGTCTGAAACCAGAGTCCAGTCTGCTCTGATTGGTTAGGGGAGGGGGGAGAGAAACTCCCTCTGGAGGGAACACAGGGATTTTAGCCTTTTGCAGACCATTTACATGCGCCCACTAAAGCCTATACAAAAGACTACAGGAAAGGGAAAAGCATAATAGGGCCTCTTTACACTAATGTGATTCTTAACATCTGACATATTACAAATGCATTTTATTCATAATCTGAATTCACAAGCAAAGCATTATTGGCCGTTTGACTGCTGGAACTCAGCCAGAAGACAAGAGCATTTTGGCTTTGAATCGCTGTGTGTAATAAAAACTGAATGATTTCAAAATGTTTTTACAGGATCATGGAGAACTACGACAAGCTGAAGTCTCGAATCAGTGAGATCGTGGACAGTAAGCGTCACCTGGAGGTGGATCTGAAGACACAGGCCGCAGACTACAGAGAGATCGACAAGAAGATGAACAGCATCAAACCAGACCTGATCCAGCTCCGCAAGACCAGGGACCAGTACCTCATGTGAGAGACACGCTCAGAGACGCATGATAGCTGAATGCTACCCACAGTCTTTATACTAACTGATATATCATTATACTGTGTTTGCCAGGTGGTTGACCCAGAAGGGAGTTCGTCAGAGGAAACTCAACGAGTGGCTGGGCCTGAAGAACGAAACAACCGAGGAGTAAGTTTGATAAATCAACTTGTTTTATCCAACACACACCTCTTCTTAAACTCTAGTTAAACACCCTTTTTAGGAATGATTTCATCTTTACCTCCTTGCCTTAACCAAAAACAAGGCAAGGTGAGCATATTCGTAAAATCGATGTGTTATGTGAGTAGAAATGTAATACTGTGTAATACGTAAGTCTTTAAATGAAAGCAAATGTGAAACTGCAATATTAGAGTAATTTAGGTCCGATTTATTAGAAAAACAATTAGAAATTATTTTGGAATCTTCATCCCGACAGCCAGATAAATCATCTCTTGATATTGTGTTAGCATCCCATCCTTAGCTCGTTTCATGCCCTGCTAACCTATT